TATACAGCAGTAAACTATTTTTCCAGACTAGATAGGATTCCTGTAGGTCTGTTTCCTGGCATTTTGCTTCAGAGTGCACAGCTCTGCATTAAACCAGGGAGCCAGTTTTCTTTTTTTAAAGTTTTTCCTTTTCAAAGGGGGCTGCGTTGTTTAGGGCAGTACGCAGAGAACTAGCAACTCCATCAACAAAATCAGGGAGGTCTGGACTTTGACTAGACCATTGTAGCACCTTGATGCTCCTTTTTCAGCCAGATGTCCTGCTGTGAAGAGAACTTCATGCTCCAGTTAGTGACTGAGTTCTCGGCTCCTGCTGCTGCTAGAAAAGTCCAATTCAACCCCGAGTCACATTTGGTTCAGGAATCAGTTAGGAATCTGTTTAGGGTCGGGAATTGGTTCAGAATCTGAAATGTGTCATTAAAAGATAATCCTAAAGTCAGAATCGTTTCAAACCAGAAATCTGTTCAAACTCAGGAAATGGTTCAGATGAATTCATAATAATTGAACTTTATTGATCTCTCATTGGAGAAAGTTACCTCTGCATTTAACCCCTCCCCTTGGGAAGCAGTGGGCTGCCATTGTGCGGCGCTCAGGGAGCAGTGGGGGGTTAAGGGTCTTAATCAGGGACCCAGAGTAGCGGTCTGGGGGGTGGGGCTTGACCTCAGAACCCTATGATTCCAAGCTCCATGCCCTAACCAATAGACTGCCACTTTTAATTCAGAATTAGGAATCAATTCAGAATCAGTTTAGACTCTGAAATCAGTCCAGAATTAATTATTTTTTGTTTTTTAGGTTCGTGAAGCAGCACAAGCTCTTCTTCTGGCCGAGCTGCGGAGGATCGGCCAATCAGGACGTAAGGACACCATTGATGCCTGGGCTCCTTACCTGCCGCAGTATGTGGACACGGTCAGCTCCCGTAAGTACGGCACTCCGTTTTCCTTTCTTCCAGGGCTTCGCTTTCTGTAGGTCAGCTGACACAGCTCGACCAATCAGAGCCTCCCTTTAAAGGGAACTGATCAGTGTGATTTACGTTCAGTCATGGCAGATGTGATCCTTGGCCTTATTTACAAAGTAGCTCCTTGTGATCAATTCAGATTTATTTTTCCTGAAGTCTATTTTTGACGTCATGTGACCTCCATCAGAGGGAGAACGCTGATGAATCTGACTGTTCCTAGAGGTGGTAAATAAGAACAAGCTCTTTGCTGTTGTTGAACTCCTGAAGGGTTCAGCAGGAGCCGACAGTTTCATGAACGAAGCAGGAAAGTAAGAAAAAATTAGCGCAGTTATTAATGGCCGATCTTGAAGCAGCCAGTGATGCTGCTGCAGATGCTTACAAACATTCAGTGCTACGTTCAGACCGAACGCTAATTGGGCATCAGAGAAGCTCCTGCTGCTTCATCTCTGATCCACATTAAGGTCAGCCGTCCAGTAAAGTGAGTCCAGATGCTTCTGCTGCTCCTGTGTT